TTTTCCATTGTCACATACTATTTCGGCGGGTATCCCGAACCGGCATATGATATGATCCCAAATAAAGTCTATAACTTCTTTCTCTCTTATTTTCTCGAACGCCTGCGCTTCAACCCATTTAGAAAAATAGTCAGTCATAAACAAAATGAATTTGGCTTTACCTGGGGTCGATGGCAGAGGGCCGACGATATCTATTCCCCATTTCATGAATGGCCACGGGGATAGGACCGAGTGGAGTTGCTCATCGGGCTGGTGGATCATCGGTGCGAACCTTTGACATTTGTCACATTTACGAACAAATTCCTTCGTATCTTTGCCCATATCGATCCAATAATACCCTGCTATGATTATTTTTTGGACTAATGTGTCGGCTCCAGAGTGGTTCCCGCAAGTACCCTCATGCACTTCCCGTAGGACGTAATCGACATCCCCCGGACCCAAGCATACTGCCAACGGTCAATCGAACGTTCTTCGGTACAACGTTCCGTCCGAAGCCAGAGTGAATCGAGCAGCTTTGGTCCGTAGGGTTATGGAATCTTTAGGGTCCAATGGGAGTTTTTCGCTTTTCAAATATTCAATATACTTGTTTCTCCAATCCTAGGTTAAGCTTGTAGAATTTATTTCGGCGTGACCTTCTTCGATTACCGATCTTGAAAGTTGAACAACATTCCCCGAGCCTGTATCATCTACCTCGACCGACGACCCCGAATTCGCCAGCGCGTCGGCCTCATTATTCTGTTCCCGTGGTACATGCCGTAAAGTCCATTGTTTGAAATGGCGCAAAGTGATAAGCTGTCTATCTAAATACCTCTGCATTCTACCTTCTCGAACTTCGAAGGTTTTGTTTACTTGACTCACCACCAGCAAGGAGTCGCAGTTGGCTTCAATGACTTCTGCTCCCAAGTTTCTAACTAACTCGAGACCTGCAATCATGGCTTAATACTCGGCCTCGTTGTTAGTAAACCTGATAGTTTTAATAGATTGCCTAATAATTCCACCCGTGGGTGGTTTCAAAACTATGCCCAGTCCGGACCCTTTTACGTTCGAAGTCCCGTCCGTAAAAAGGATCTATACCCTCGATGATGTACCTGATTTCAACAGTTCTTTTTCGACTTCGGGTACGAGGGCTGGTGTGAAATCGTCCACGAAGTCCGCTAAAACTTGAGACTTGATGGTCGTGCGGGGTTGATATTCGATATCGTACCCACTGAGTTCGACGACCCATTTGGCCAGTCGGCCTGATAACTCGGGTTTGTGCAAAATACTACGAAGCGGGTATGTGGACAATACACATATAGGATGACATTGAAAGTATGGCCTTAACTTCCTCGAGGCGCTTATCAGTGCCAGCGCCAACATTTCTAGGAGCGGATATCTAGTTTCCGCCTCTCCTAAGGTTCGACTCGTATAATAAACGGGGAATTGCGTACCTTGCTCTTCTCGAACTAGGACACCGCTTACGGCGACTTCCGATACTGCCAAGTACAAACAAAGTTTCTCGTCTGTTTTTGGAGTGTGAAGCAGTGGTGCGCTTGATAGATATCGCTTTAGTTCTTCTAATGCTTGTTGGCACTCCGGGGTCCAAGAAAAATCGTTCTTCTTTTTGAGTAGAGAGAAAAATTTATGACTTCGATCAGATGATCTTGACATGAACCGGCTTAAGGCGGCGATCCGACCCGTTAGCCTTTGTACAGCCTTCACGCTGTCTACAACGACGATGTCTTCGATGGCCTTGATTTTATCGAGGTTAATCTCTATTCCCCGATGTGATACCATGAAGCCGAGGAACTTGCCCGAACCGATCCCGAAAGCACATTTCTCGTGGTTGAGCTTCATTTTGCATTTCCTCAAAATCTTGAACGTTTCCTGCAAATGAATTAAATGGTCCTCTGCGCGCAGGGACTTGACTAACATGTCATGAATATAAACTTCCATTGATTTTCCTATTTGTTCTTCGAACATTTTATTCACTAGGCGTTGGTAAGTAGCCCCTGCATTTTTTAGCCCGAAAGGCATCACATTATAACAATACGTTCCATATTTGGTGACAAATGAGGTTTTTTCCTGGTCCTCCGGGTTCATCTGTATTTGATTATACCCGGAATAGGCATCGAGAAAAGTGAGGATCTCGTAGCCGGCCGTGGCATCGATCATGCGATCGATATTGGGCAACGGAAAGGAGTCTTTGGGGCATGCTTTGTTCAAATCCTTATAGTCCACGCACATTCTAAGTTTGTTCCGTTTTTTAGGGACTACAACTACGTTGGCTAACCATTCGGGATATTTCACCTATCGAATGGACCCTACTTTGAGAGTTTGGTTACCTCGTCCTTTATGAATGCATTCTTTCTATCGGACTGGGGTCTTCTCTTTTGCTTCACTGGTCTGAACCTGTGGTCCAAACTTAGCTGATGCGTCGTTATGTCCGGCGGGATCCCTGTTATATCTAAATAGGACCAGGCAAAATAATCGATGTTATTGATAAGAAATTGAACGAGTTTCTTCCTGAGTTCAGGGCTCAACCCCGTTCCCAAGTATACCTTTCGCTCGGGCCGGCGCTCGATTAATATGACTTGCTCTAGCTCCTCGATCATCGATTTTGTGGCGTCGGAGTCATTGGGAATCACGAAATATCGAGGGACCCTTTGGTCTCCATCCTCTTCGATTTTCTGGTTTTCTGGCTGGGTTGAAGCCGATGTCTGCGATTGCTATTTGGTGTCCCGTTCTCCTTCTGGGCCCGATCCTTTTATCGGCGAAAGTGAGGACACTGGTTTAGCTTCGTCGACGGCGAACATTTCTTTCGCGGCTGGTTGTTCTCCGTACACCGTTTTGACACCTCCCGACATCGGGAATTTTAGAACCTGGTGTAGGGTCGAAGGCACAGCTCTCATGTCGTGGATCCATGGCCTTCCGAAAAGGGCGTTATATCTCATATCGCCTTCGATCACGTGAAACTTTATTTCCTGGATGGTTCCCGCCACGTTTATTGGTATGACTATCTCACCTTTGGTGGTTTCGCATGCCATATTGAACCCGTTTAGGACCAGAGTTGCGGGTACGATATGATCCTGGAGGCCGAGCTGCTCCACTACCTTCAATCGGATGATGTTGGCTGAGCTACCTGGATCGATTAACACACGCTTAATTTTAGTTTTATTTACGAGTACGGATATTACCAGCGCATCGTTGTTGGGTTTGGATGACCCCCTCTGCATCTTCATCACCAAAGGACAGAGTCCCCATGGGTGCGTAATCTTGAGTCCAAGATCGCTTTTCCCTCACCATCGATGTTTTAGTGCGTTTAAGCATTGGTCCCCGAGGGGTATCGATGCCGCCGATGATCATGTGGATGACGTGCTGCGGTTCTTCTTGCTCGTTTTGCTTGCTGAAATTCCTACTTCTAAAATGGCTCTTTGCCCTATCACTCAGAAACTCCCGAAGGTGCCCTTTGTTAAATAGGCGAGCTATTTCCTCTCTTAGTTGCTTGCAATCTTCCGTTCTGTGGCCACAGGTACCATGGTATTCACACGTTTGATTGGGATTTCTTCGGGCAGGATCAGTCTGCATTGGTCGAGGCCATTTAGTGTCTTCGATGCGTCCGATGGCCGACACGAGAGCGGATGCACCAACGCTGAAGTTATATTCTGATAATCGAGGTGCTTCTATAGGCTCGGCATATTTATCAAAGCCGCTCTTACTCATAAGCCCCCGAGAATTTTGTCCTCGATCAATTCTTTGATTGTTCCGAACTGCGTTGCGTGCTGAACCGTTGTTCACCCGATCTGCGACGTATGGTCGATATCAGTCTCTGTTCGACCTTTGTTCTTTGTCGATCTGCTTTTGATTAATAACTGTCTTGTTCTGATGAACGGGTCCGTACGGGGCCCCCGACTGATCATCCTCGACCCTAATTTTCGATTGATATCGGTTGTGCACAGCTGCCCAAGTTACCGCTGGATACTCGATCAAATTTTGTTTCAGCCGATGTGATGCTGTCGAACTTAGCTCGTTCAACCCTTGGGTGAAAGCTTGTACGGCCCAGTCGTCTGTGACCGGGGGTTATTCCATGTGTTCTATTTGAAATCGGGATACGAATTCCCTCAGCATTTCTCCCTGCTTTGCTTTACTTTGAAGAGGTCTGATTTTCTCGTTGCAACCTTTATGGCACCAGCATGTGCTTTTATGAATGAATCTGCTAACATGGCAAAGGAATCGATGGAATTCGGCAGTAAATTGTGGTACCAAATCATAGCTCCTTTCGAGAGGGTTTCCCCGAACTTTTTCAACAACACAGATTCGATCTCATCGTCTTCCAAATCGTTGCCTTTTATGGAACATGTGCAAGAGGTGACATGTTTGTTAGGATCGGTCGTACCGTTATATTTGGGATTTCAGGCATACGAAATTTTTTGGGGATTAGCTTCGGTGCTGCACTCGACGAAAAAGGCTTTTGTATGAATTTTTTTGAATCAAGCCCTTTTATCATTGATGGAGACCCCGGGATTTGGTCGACCCTGGCATTGTACGTTTCCACCCTCTTGTCGTTGGCTTCGACTCGTTTTGTGAGTTCCTCGAGCAATTTAGTAATTCCGGGAGTAGTCCCCGATTCTTGCTCGTTAGATTTCACTATGGCAGGCTCTGTTCTGGGGGTGACTTCTCGAAGTGGATTGGAAACCGGCCTACTTTGTGCGCGAGTTTGGCTCTGTAGCTGAGCTATCGCTACTTGTTGGGCTTGTAACATCTCGAAGATCATGCGTAAGCTGGCCCCGATTTCCCCTGGGTTTTGGATGTCTTGGGCTATGGATCGAGTACCGCCGTGAATGCTTCTTTCCGGTTCGGAACGCTGGTTCGCTTCCAAAGCTATTTGTGAATTGACATCTAGTGGTATTTCGGCTCGAATCTCGGGTACTTCCAAGTTGTTGGTTTCATCTTGAAGGCCAGCTTCGTAATCAGGCGGTGAAGCCATTCGGTTGGTGGCTATGNAATCGATCGGTGAAGCCATTCGATCGGTGGCTATTCGTAGCTGACCCTGAATTGAAGATGTTTTCGGAAATAAGTGCGAGGCACAATGGCGTGTTCTTTTTTAGATTTGTATCAAATGACCACTGTTATCCTCGGCCTCATGGTGGGCGCCAAACTGTTTACCCAAAAAATGGATAGAGTTGAATTTGTACGCAGTTCCGAAGATATGTGGCGCAACTTAATACAAAATGCAAGGATAAATAAAATGTGAATGTAGATTGGAGAGAATGTAATCTAGACAAGGCAATCAAGAACAGTGAACCTTAGGATTCAACAAATAGAATCAATCTAAGAAACTGGAATAGCTATTCTTTACTGTAGAGGAATATAATACTTTCATTACAATGTAAGTCTCAGAAAAATCCGTCCTACAGAAATGATAACCAAGCTCATTTATAGTGGAGGGATTCGGCACCGAGCATAATAAAATAAAATATTCAGTGGGAGACCCATGATAAGTCAGCTTATCCATAGTTTCTGCCAAGATTCCCTCTAGTGGGATTGCAACAGCTTTTGTCTGCAAGCTCGATCTCGTTTAGAAAACTTGATTTTGGTTCGAGCTTGATTTCGGCTCAAACTAGTGATCTTGGTTCGAGCCCGATCATGGTTCGAGCCCTCGAATTGATTCCAGATCAATGTTGGTCGGTCTTCGGATTATCAGCACGATAGGTCTACCCTGCGTCATGGTTCGATTTTTGTTCGAGTTCGATTAGGATATCGATCTCGACACGGACCGGTCTTTCCGGGTTCGAGGTTAGTTCATCCTCTTTTCGGGATCTTACTTCGATACATCACCTTTCGAACCATACCGGACATGCCAAGGCTAAAATCTATTTCGACCGTATATAGTACCAATGCTATTCTGTTGCATCTTTCTTCTTCAGGCAAGCTTGTTGGTAATTGACTGATCTCTTATTCTTAGTCCATGAAAATTAAAATATAAACTTAATTCTGGCTGTCAAGGTGTTTGAGCATAGAGAACATGATATAGATGTTGATTTGATCCATTAATTTGTTTGTTTGATTGGAAGTCTGGAACTGCTTTAAGCTTGTTTTTATTTACTGCCTAAACAAAATAAACTGTGCAAAATTGTTTCTCCTTGTCCAAGGAAACATGCTTTCATATGTTTCAAGGTCAGCTGGCCAATCTTCTTTGCTAGTGGTACTTTCTCCATTCCCCGGTCTCGTGAGCCTTCCCATGTGCCGACGATGAAGGTTCTAGGAGTGGAGATGGAGATGATGCTAGATAAAAAACTCATTGAATGGTATGTATTGCTAAACAAAGTATTGAACTTGTCAATATTTAGTTGAAACTAGTTGTTGTGGTGGTTGTTATTAGTTGTTATTGTTGTTAGATAATGGTTGTTAGTGTTAGTTAATAGTTGTTAGTTAATTATTGTTGTTGTTGTTGTTAGTATATTCATTGTTGTTGATTAATTATGGTTGAATGACATCAATATAATGCCTGCCATTATAGGATGGATATTGGTTGTAATTGGCAAGTGGTGTAGCTCAAAAATAGGCATTTCCTGCCCAGGTTTTACCCAGATTTCCGACCGAATTCGGTCGGAAATTAATTTTTTTGCCCAAATATTCATAATTTCCGACCGAATTCGGTCGGAAATTATGAATTTATATTTTTTTTAAAAAAAATAAATTAACAATTTACAACTAGTTATTTAATTAAATAAAATTATTATTTTTTTCAAATTTCCGACCGAAATCGGTCGGAAATTAAAATTTTAAATTCGGGCGGAAATTAAAATTTTAAAATAAACAATTTAATAGTTTTCAATCGATTTTGGTCGGAAATTGAAGTTTGACAATCAGTCAACGCTTTGAAATTTCCGACCGACTTCAGTCGGAAATTTCTATCGATTTCGGTCGGTATACGTTTGCGACCATCGTTTTCGGTCGGAATTTGGTCGAAAATTATCAATTTGCGGACGGAATTACACTATTTTTTAGTAGTAAGTAAGAATATCAACGATAAATTTTCAATGAAAAAGTATAAAATAAAAGTAGAATAATAAAATCGGCTCAAGAATTTGATAAGTTGATATACAATAATAACATACCCATTGAAAACCCACAAAGTGGGGTCTGAGGAGGTAGAGTGTACGCAGACCTTACCTCTACCTTGTAAGGTAGAGAGGTGGTTTCCCAAAAGACCCTCGGCTCAAGAGAAAACATGGCCAAAAAAAAGGTCAGATAAGGACAATCAATTCAATGCAGTATGACAATGAAAGTAACAAAGGCGAATAAGTCATGATAAAGCAGTCTAAAAAGGAGCAATATCTATCACAGATAAATAAGATAATCGAATTACAAGAAACAATAGATAGTAGCAGAAATCAAAGGGTAAGAAACTATTGTGAGCACGTGATTTTTGCCTGACAGAAAATACTCCTACAAATTCAAAATAGGTTTTTCTAATTATTTTAATTTTTTATATAATTTTTAGGAATTTCTTGTTAATTGTTGCTTGCATTTAATTGCATATTTAACATTTTAAAATCATGAGAAAAATACCGAAAATGTCAATTTTTTCATGCATAGCATTTTAGGTCTTAATTGCATTTAGGATTTAATTACATAAGTTAATTGCGCTATTAAACAAAAAATAAAAAATATTAGTCATTTTTACATTTTTAGCTTTTAGTTGCAAATTAATAATTTTCTTTCATTAGTCTTAAGTTAATTAATTATTTTTATGTAGACAATTAATTTAATTTTACAAATTAGATTTGACGTAGGACTTAGTTTAGGATTTTAATTAATTTTATTAAGCTAAAAATCAAGAAAAAAAGAAGAAAGAAAGCTTGCTTAATTCCGGATTCGGTCACAACCATTTTCAGTGGCCCAATTGCTCCAAATATTACCCCAAAAATCCGTCCAGCCCAACACCTTTTCCCCCTACCCAGCTTCTGATCCGCCCTGAACCCATGACCCGCCCCATCTCCCTCTCTAAATCCTAGCCACCCACTAACTTTAATCCAACATCTCACCTTTTTTCCTCACACCAAATATAAACCAAATATAACACAAACCCTAATCCTAAAAGAAACTAACCCAGCCGCATCTCCTCAACCCCCCACCTCTGTCCGCCGCTACAACACGCCCAAACTCACTGGAATCAGGCGAGTTAACTCGCAAACTCGTGCACATGGTCCCTCCTTTCTCCCTTTGCCACGTATCCTAACGACCTATGACAAACGGAATTATTCTTTCCGAATTTCACGCACTCCCTCTTATTTTTCTGTCAGATTTATGCTCTTTTGGCGAAAATAGAAAAAATGTGGGGCGTAGGATCGAGTCACACTCGATCTACTCCTTACATCTGTCTTATCTCGCCAAACCAAGAATTTGTTTTGGATTTTTGGGGGTGATTTTCGGATTCCTTGGCATCCAAGGAGAAAAGGTTCGAGTGAAGCTATAAATAGGAGGATTTTCATAGGAGAGAGCCGTGGAAAAAAAAAATTCCAAGACTCTTTCTCTTCATTTTCATTCTGATTTCTTTCTCTTCAAGTTCAAAGCTAGAAAACAAAAGAAAAAAAAAAAAAAAAATTAGGCTGTGTTTCTTTTCATTTCCTACTGTTTTTTTTTTTTGGCTGGGATTCATGGCTTGAGTTTGAAGCTGCTGTGGTTTTGGTCTTCTACTTTGTGTTCTTGCTGCTGTTTCTTCTCAGAATTTCAGAAATTTATTTTCTCTTTTACTTATCTTTGCTGCTTTAAGGTACACACAAAAGCTTGCCAATACATGGATCTATGAAAATTGATTTACCTATTTATGCCAAAACATGTTGAATTGATTCTAGTGAGTTTGAAAATTTGTTGTTCTTGTGTATTTGAAGACTGTTCTTTTCTTGGTTTTAATTAGTATGTTTATAAATTGATTAGAAATTATGTGAATCTGGTTTAGTTTGGAGGATGGTGTGGAATCCGTTAATCAAGATGTTAGGTGACAGAATTAGCACATTTCCATACATTTAGTCATTTTTTTTCCTCTCGAAATTTTCAGTCACTGATTCATGTGTAACTTCAAAATATAGATATAGGCTATTGGTAGACTTGAGTGATTTGGAATTCTGTTTATTGCTTTGTGAGTCTATGACGTTGATTCAAACTTTTTCTAAATACATCTGTGTTGAAGGATCTTGAGTAGCAGATTTAACCATCAATGAAGCTATTTTTGTTGGCTTCCTCTTTCGTCGTCATAGAAGCTGCTGGGTGGAAATCGTTTTGTAACAATAGGAGGATTAACTAGCTATAATGTTATAGCTTTATTTCTGATTTCATGAGTTTTCTTGTATCAATTTGTAACTGGGTGAAACCTTTTCACTTGGGTAGTACATCTTGAGTCACAAGTGCCTTATTCATGTTGATTAGTTCAATGTAATATTACTGCTTCGGACGTGAAATCAATTGCAATGACTTAGTCCAGTAATACGGTTCTTATTCGCTATGTTAAAATTTGTTACTAACAGTCGCTATCTGATTGCTAAATTTTCAAACTTTTCTTGGCATGCCCTTGTTTTGTCCATGTTCCATTCCTTTTCTCTGGTTCACTGAGCAATTCTCGATATAGTTTGTCCCTTTTTGCGCTTATATGGTCATTTATTAAGATTTTGTTATTTTGTTAGAAGATTCTGTTAATTTCATTCTTAAGTTTGAACATGGAAATGGTTCAGAGTTGGCGTGAATTTGATAAGTTGTGTTGCTTATTGGATTTGATTTGCTTTTATTAATCAATAGGCTATTTCGTTAATATTTACGCTAGTTGGGCCATTTGTCAGTGTTAGAGAAATCAGAAAATTGGACTAGGTTTAAAATAGTATGGTTTGCTAGTTTGAGCAAATTTGATAAATAAATTGGTGAGGCAAATAAATCATCTGCCAGGACATTTTCGTGATGATGTGTTACTAGCCCTTTTCTTTTTAATAAACAGAGCTATTATACTTTTCCAATTCATCCATTCGATGCTTCTCCACAATAATTCCATAAACTCTTGGCCTTACAATAATCTCAAATAAGCTTTAGGAAAATAATTCATGAACATCGTAGCTTGCTTTAGGCGTGATTAATAAATAAATCATCGTGACTATGGGTACGGTTCCCGTGGCATAGTTGCAATACGTAATCCCCAATTCGGGTGCGCATTTCATGTGACCCGATCATAACTTCAAACAATAACTAAAATAAATATGTTGTAGATCGTGGGTACGGCTCCCATGACGCGATTCGCAATGTGTACAAAAACAAATGAGTACGCGACATCACGACTTGTTCAAATAATTCCATAAGTAATTAAAAGCGGCTAAAAGATTAAAAATGCACGAATAGGTTTAAAATATGTAATAAATCAGATAACTAGGCCAATTAATAATAGTTGAGCAATCATGCTAAAATTACGGAATCCGAGAATGCATAATACCTTCTCCCGGGTTAACAGAATTCATTACTCGGTCTTTTGATTTTCGCAGACTTTTAACGGAATCAAACTTCCTCGATTTGAGATTTTAAAACAAACCGGTGACTTGGGACACTATAAATTATTCTAAGTGGCGACTCTGAATCTAATAAATAATCCTATTTCGAACAATGTCACTTTAATTGAAAAAACTCTCATATCCCCTCGGGAAAAAAGAGGTGTGACAACTATAGAACAAGATACGTTGATATAATGATATCGAAAAGTGTTGCATTGCTTCAATATAATGATTGCTTGTTGTAATGCTTGATATTTTGAAGAAGACAACTTATAAGCCGCGGTAAGTTGTGGATTGAGAGACTTTTTTCAATATTGAGAATAAGAATAGCAAAAGGAAGAATGAAAAGGTAAATATATAAATAATAATGTGGACCCGTATTAGTTGTTAGGATATAAATGAGCAAAAGAACAGGGGTATTATCACTTTTAGCCCGCGTAAAAACTATTTACATTTAGTAGCCGAAAAAATGTATAAAATTTGTATATAATTTTTGAATATAACATACATAATGTGTATATATATACAAAAAATATACAAATTTTATACATTTTTCGGCTATTATTTTTATAGCGGCTATACAGTATCATTTTTCCAATAAACAAATAGCTACCCTACCCCATGTAATGAAACAATTCATTAAAAATCATTCCATTCTCTAATAATTACAACGATCCTCACATTAAAGTTATTGTACTTCCGCTCCAATTTTTTTTAAAAATTTAAATGTACACACATTTTTTTTAATAATACATATACAATACATCTTTAAGGAAAAAACGGAGCCCCCAAAAAGTTGGGCCCCCAAGCGATTGTTTTACTGGCCTTATAGTCGAGCCACCCATGTTCTCACCTTCATCTTTAAACCTCGATTACCCCTTGGGGTGCGATTTATCCTTGGATTCTGTGCAAATACGAAATATTTTGTGCAAAAAACTGTTTTTTATTTTTTTAAACTTTTGAGTGAAGAAAAATAAGAACTCCGCTAGATTTTTGGAACCTCCCTCGATTAAGTTGGTCCATTTCTATGATGCGCACTGGAGTTTCGAAAATGGCCAAATCCTTAGAAACCATCTTAAACTTGGTATGACTTTAGTTACATACTCTAACTTAACTGATGACCAGGTAGATACCTCTACTTGAATTTTTTGAAATTTTAACAATTCACAATAATTCATGTTCTGCTCTTATATATTTTAAAATATATTCATATTTTAATTAAGTAAAATAATAAAAAAAAGATAATACAATATTAATAAATCCATAACTAGTTGTATGTACAAAGATTCAAACTCTCAGATACATATTTGATGACAAAATAGCAGAATACAAAAAGTCCCCAACTTTCATCTTTTACCTATCTCCTATTCCAAGTTCACAACAGTTTTTGACATTCCAGATTCCGCATTGAAATTTGTAAAAGTTATGTCTCCAATAACTACTTGTTTACATGTATATCTAAGAAGTTTGCACCAACGTGGACTTTTTTGCTCCAATTTTGTGAAAGGAGTCTACACATGTGTTAAACCCAAAATACAAAGAAGTAAGAGTGAAAAGAGACAATTGATACTTGAAAAGCCCAATGTACAAAACGGTTGCTAGAACTTGGGGAGAAATTTAAAAATAGTCAGATTTACAGGTGGTAATTGAAAAATAGCCATAATTTCAAAAGTAATTAAAATTTAACTACTTTTCATGTAAAGATAAATCTGAACAAAAAAACTGTTCAAAATTCGGAAAATATTGCAGCATAATATATTTGAGTTCCAGTATAATATACCGGTCCAGCATAATATGATGGAGGTTCATACACAGGTGCTCCAATCTCCAGTATATTATGCTGGAACTTTCCGCGTGTTGGAGTTCCAGCATACTATGCTGGAAGTTCATACACAGATGCACCAATCTCTAGTATATTATGCTGGAACTTTCCGCGTGTTGGAGTTCCAGCATACTATGCTGGAAGTTCATACACAGATGCACCAATCTCTAGTATATTATGCTGGACCGGTCCATGCTACAACAAAATAGTGACTATTTTTCAATAATTTTGTAAATAGTGGCTATTTTTGAATTACCAGTGTGAAAACTGGCTAGCCGTACTATTTTTACTAGAACTTGCCCATAGTTAATGGTTGATGTTTCATTTGGATTCATATAATTGGGTTTGGACATAAGTGTCTCAACTAAGCTTGAAGAATAGATAAGAAAATTACTGAACTGAACTTTAATAAAAAATTGGATTGAAGAAAGAAGAATTAATCGTTTAGGTTTAGGAAAAAAATGAAAATGAAGAACCAAAGACGTGCAAAAATGAAACCTTTTTGATAGCTTATATTGTAAAAAATCTTAATTTAATAAGCTCTCACATCGTACAAATTCACTAGTCACAATCATAATACTATATTTTCATTCTGTGTTACTTTCACTAATTAGTACGGTGTCCCATCATTCATTAACCAAATATAATTGAAAATGTCTACTTGCATTCCAAAATTCCAATTAGCAAAGCATAAAAAGATCTCTCCACATTAATCTTTCATTACTAGCAATTAGCATGACATGACATGCTTAAGTATATTATACATGGTTCTTATAAAAATAATAATAAGGCGTAATACATACTGAGACACTTAAAGTTGGAATCATTTTTCATTTAGACACTTAAACTAGGTCTCTTTCCATCTGAACATATTTCGTTGGCATATAATATACCAATTAGACACGTTTTATGCAGGAGGCATATAGGGTGAGTTACATCCTATTTAAGCGCATGAGAAGGAATTTTTCAGCTGATATATGTTTAGTAACGGTAACATCGGTGAAGTAACGGTAATTCTTTATCTCTCTCTATTTAAACCCTAATTCCTTTCCTTATTGTAAAAAAATCAATTTTGTTGCTCCAACACTTCTCCTTCTCGTTTTTTCTTCTCTTTTTTTTTCTTTTCTTCTCTTCTTTCTCTCGTTTTGTTGTCGCCCAGTTTATTTAAGTGAAGGTTGAAACTTATTTAATATCCATTAATGTCGAACTTATCGGAATCGACGAACTTATCAATGTCACCTTGCGCTGCTGGTCGAATTTGTAAGTGTGGTGTTTCTCCAAAATTGAATATTTCATTGACCCAACTAAACCCAGGTCGTAGGTTTTTTGCTTGCAAAATCGGAAAGGTAAATTTTTTATTCTTAATTGTATCCTATTTTATTAATTATTTTGTTTGATGATAATTGATCAAATGTGTTTGTTGTTTTTTGTAGAAAAAGGGTGAATGTGATTATTTCTGTTAGTATGATGATGAGATGCCTACTCAAGCAAGGAAAATAATTTGGGGTTTATTAAAGAGAGTCAAAGCTTTTGAAGAGGAGAAGGTTCAAGCAAAAAAAAGACTGATCCTTTTGACCGTTGTTGTTATATTGTTGCTCGTTTTATAGAAACTGTAGGGCTGATGTCCGGCCGTGATCTTTAGGTGTTGTTGCTGATGTCTTTAGATGTTGGTGCATTCTTGTGTTTTGATGTGGTTTGCAAATTAGTTTGGTTGTTTTAGGTATTGTTGCTGCTACACTTTTGTAATCTTAGTACTGCTATGTTGTAAATCTTTCACAAATTCAAATTATTGAAAATCATATATGACTTGGATAAATTCACCATTTTTTTTTCTTTTGACAAAAAAACCCTTCGACAACTGTATATCCAAGGTCTTCAGCATAAGCGAACAACTCAACAAGACTAAAATGGTCTTTATTGATAGCAACAGAAAAGGCATCTAATTCACCTTTGTATATTGGGACCGGTTCTTCGATAAATTTATCCCCATGGTGAAAACGAGTTAAAATATAGTCATCCATAATATTTCCTTAGATAAAACGCCAAAGGACCAACACAAATGAAACCCCCCAAAATATCCTAGCTTTATCAAAAACTTAAAAAAGAAGCCCTAACTGCAACAATAGAAAATAAATAAAGGAGAGATTGGACCTTTAAGCGTTGAAAATACTGTAAGAGATCAGTAGAGAAAAGTAGTTACCAACACCATTGAC